CTCTTTGTCTGACTGCTTTCCTTATCTGATTGTACCTTTTTCTCTAATTCTCTTATCCCTAATTATTATATTTCTCTCTTTATTTCCTATCTCTAACCGACTTTTTTTTATCTCCGGCAAGAAATATAGCCCCGCCTTATTCTCCTATGAGAAGAGTGGTTCACATCAATGCGGAGTGTTGGAATATTTTCGATTCACCCAAGTATTGGGTCCTTGAGTAAAAAAATTTATTTGCATTTTTTCTTGGACTAGGTTGGGATTTGGAAATTATCTCTTTTTCATTAGGTTGGAATTTGGAGAATCGTTTCTTTTGGAATGGATTGGGATTTGAAGATTTGTTTATTTAGTGACTTGGTTAGAATTGGGAATAAGCATTTCTCTCATTAGAATGCTTCTTTCTACAATTTTAAAATCTTCCAACCTTCTTCAAATGGATAGGGGAGGAGGGTATTCATGGAGACCCTTTCAAACATGAGTGAAAAATCAAAATGGAGCATGATACATGGGTTGAAAATTAACTCTCCCATTATTTCTGAAAAAATGTAAAAAAAAAATTTAGTCATTTCGGCGAAAATATCACCCACTACCCTTGGAATTCTTGGTGGGCGTTTGATAACAGTGTAAATATGGGAAAGTAGCCGATTTTTCTTTGGGACTTGGGTTCTGCAGCAAGAACCATGGCCTATTGGGGCGTTCTTGGTAGGTTAAGGGCCTCACCATTGAAAGGAATTGTATCTGGTATTCGACCCATTAGCCTAGGATGATAACCGATAAAGCAAACACCAAATGGAAAATACTTACATCGACTAGTATCCGCTATCATTCATTATTAGAAGGTCAAACGGTGGCTGTTTTTAAGTAAAAGAAGGCACAAATATAACCTGGACATGGCATTGAACACTCTCTATAAAAAAGATATTCACTAATTTAGTCTATAAAAAAAAGAGCAAAGAACCACCAAAAAATAGAGCAAATATTTGAGCTGATGCACATTCACGAAAAAAAATCAATTAATAAGGTTCCTCAATTTGATATAAACTAGGAAAAAATTAGATTAATAAATCAGAAAAAATAGATTAATAAGGTCCTGTAGGAGATTAACCAGGAAAAAAAAGGAAAACTAAATAAAAAATATATAAAAAAACCATTTGCAGATTTGGGTTTTAACTTCTTCT